CACAAAATACACAGTCACTACACGTTACAGTGTATCCTGTGAAGCGCTTTGAGACGTCTCGAAGACGTGATGAGGCTCTGTATCAAATACAAGGTTTGTTGTTATTATTATCATCATCACATCACGGAACGTCTGTGTATTTTGTGGGTGAACACGGCCACCAATTTGGGGCACAGCAACATTCCTGGATACAGCCATGAAGTGAACACGTGATTATATCTGTCGGGGTTGGTGGGGGCGGGCGGCGTTGACTGGGAGATTGTCAGCCAGGACACCGGGGGAGAGAGAGAGAGAGAGAGAGAGAGATTCCCTTCTTTTCTCAAATAACGCAGCGATGATCTTTAACGTCCACCTGAACAGGGCACAGATGGGAGCTTGGCTTCACGTCTCATCCGAAGGACGGTGTTTCTGACAATGCAGCGCTCTTTCCCCCCCCCCCAACCCTCTCCCCCTCCCTACTCCTCCCAACTGGCTACCAGCCTGGACTGTGAGCTCCTGTGTGCTTTCCCGAGGGTGTGGAGCTTGGAGCTCTGGAGTAACTCAGACCTGGCTCTGACTTTTACAACATTAACAGACGCAAGTCAGACTTTCCACTGTCGACTCTCTGAGGGGAGACGAGAGGCTGAGCACTGCAGCCAGGAGCGAGTGAGTTAGTGAGTGAGCAGTACACGTGAGCGAGCCTCCAGTAATTACAGCTCCAGCAACACATCCCCCCTGAGCTCCTCACTGAGGTTTCAGCTGCTTGTTGCTGGAGCTCAGGAACAAGTAGCTCCCCATCGTCTCCCCCCCCCACCCTCGACCCTGTCCGTCTGAACAACCGTCTCTGCGTAACTCTTCCGCCCCCACCACCGAAAAATATCTAACAGCCCCTCACATTGCTTGCACAGCTGCCCACAATGAGCTGTAATCACACCCGATCTCACACACCCCACACTCCACTCCCCGACACCCACACACTGTTAAGAACATTTCACTGTGTAACTTGACTGAGGGAAGAATCCAGAACCCTGGTATTACCATGGATTAGTGTGTTCTCTATTATTTGTTTCAGTAAATACCAGCAGCTTGAGGTGTCCTTCCCACGTGAGTCGCTGAGTAAATGTTCTTGTTATATTATTAAATCATAATAATCCTTGCATTCAATACAGCACCTTGTCAAGTCTTCGAGGCGTCTCAAAGCGCTTCACAGGATATACTGTAAAGTGGAGTGACTGTATTTTGTGGGCAAATTGCAGCAGCCAATTGCGCACAGCAGCGTCTCCACAAACAGTGGTGGATTGAGTGATCAATTTTTTTATATATATGAGGGATTAATACCCCCGGAAAAGCGATCCGCCAATCAACTAACAACCGGATTCCCACTTCCTGCGTGGTAAACAGAGGCGCGTGGAGTAAGGAAACTTGCCTAAGGGTTTGCCCTGTCCGGGAATCGAACCTGAGTCCTCTCACTTGTGAGGCGAGTGCTCTAACCACTACACTGTTCCATATATCAACAGTTTACAGTAATGGGGTGCAGAACCTTCACAGTTACATTAGGGACAGTGTACTGCGGGGGGAGGGGAGGACAGGGGAAGTTGGTTTGACCACTTGTTCATTTTTATAAATAAAAGGGGAAGCAAAGAGTGACTACTTCCTGTAATACAATGGTATTTCTAACTTTCTTGGGTGCAGAGAGAATACAGGCAAATGTATGTCATGCACACACAGTCACACACACAGTCACACACATACAGACAAGCACACACACACAAACAGACAAGCGCACACAGAGACTCGAGGGGAAAGGGAATATAGAGAGTCCAGGAGGGGGGAATAGAATGGGGTTGGGGGTTGGGGGATATAAACATCAGCAAGGACTAGTTGGGCCGAATGGCCTGTTTCTGTGCCTTAATTAATAATCCTCGCAGAGAGCGCGGCTAAATTACACCTCACCAAACTCTGTTTGTTCCGCCCTGATCCCGAATTCAGAGCTCTAATTATTCCGTATAGCCACGCAGCTAAGCCAATTATCCTAACATCCATAATTATGTTGTTTTATTGTTTATTCGACGGGTGGTGGCAGGGGTATTCGGGAGGTGGGCAATGTTTGTGCCCGGCATGTCTCCCTCTCTGTCTCTGTGAGCTCTATCGCTCTGTTTCCCTCTCCCTCTGAGTCTCTCTCTGTGAGCTCTGTGTCTCTGTGTGAGTCTCTCTCTTATCTCTCTCTCTCTCTCTCTCTCTCTGTGTCTCTCTATCTCTCTCTGTGAGTCTGTCTCTCTATCTCTGTGTCTCTCTCTATGAGTCTCTCTATCTCTCTCTGTGTCTCTCTATCTCTCGCTATGAGTCTCTCTCTCTCTCTCTGTCTGTCTCTGTGAGTTCTATCTCTTTGTCTCTCTCTGTGAGTTTTTCTTTATTTCTCTGTCTCTCTCTGAGTATCTCTCTATCTCCCTGTGAGTCTCTCTGTCTCCCTGCGAGTCTCTGTCTCCCTGCGAGTCTCTGTCTCCCTGCGAGTCTCTGTCTCCCTGCGAGTCTCTGTCTCCCTGCGAGTCTCTGTCTCCCTGCGAGTCTCTGTCTCCCTGCGAGTCTCTGTCTCCCTGCGAGTCTCTGTCTCCCTGCGAGTCTCTGTCTCCCTGCGAGTCTCTGTCTCCCTGCGAGTCTCTGTCTCCCTGCGAGTCTGTGTGTGTGTGTGTCTCCCTGTGAGCTGCTTTCCCTGAGTTATCTCATTACCTTAGTTATCCCCATCCCCTTGAACTCGCTGATGTCACTATCCCTCGGCTCTAGTCGGTGTTATTCTCGGGCTAATCCGTGCCCCCGGCCAGCGAGCAGCGACAGGCTCAGGAACCCCCTCCACCCACTTTCTTGGTGGGGTGGGGGGGGGGGGGGGGATTGGACACGAGCACGGATTGGCTGCTTGTTTGCCTACACACACACAGTCACTACACTGGCTGGTCCTGACCTGAGAAGAGAGAGAGAGAGAGAGAGAGGGCGAGGGAGAGGCAGTGAGAGAGAGGAAGAAAGAGAAGGAGTTAAAATGCATCAGTTCCCTTTAAGCAGTCTGACTGACAGGAGCCTCTGATGCCGCGTTACATCACTGACAGACGCCGGTTGTGTGTGTTACAATAGATATAACAGCTTCACACAGGGCAGCATCTCAGGCGCTGAATTATACAAGAGCGAGAGAGCGAGCGAGAGAGCGAGAGAGCGAGTGAGGAGGGAGCTGTGTGAATGGGGAGTGTGTGGGGGTTGGTGGGATGGTCAGACCACTCTGGAGAGCAGATTACCGCAGCGAGTGAGCGAGAGTGTGACAGACATGGGAGTGCCAGCGGGCTGTGAGCTCCCGTCCCTCGGCCAGGCCATTCCCTTAGCCCTGTGGCTGGCGGAAGTGCTTTGGGGTTGGGGCCGGGGGTTGGGATTGGGAGGGCGGTGGTTGCAGCGCTCTAGGACGCTATCCCGTCACGCAGGGATAGTGTCCCAGAGTTGTTGTCCTCATCTTCACCGGGTCCTAGAGGTACACACAGCTCGCTGGTGCGAGTGTATGAGGCAGTGTGCGAGGAGGGTGTGATTGTGCGAGGGGGCGAGGGAGGGGGTGAGGGAGTGTGCGAGAGGGCGCGGGAATGTGCGAGGGGGCGAGGGGGGGTGAGGGAGTGTGCGAGAGGGTGCGGGAATGTGCGAGGGGGCGAGCGGGGGGTGAGGGAGTGTGCGAGGGGGCGAGGAAGAAGGTGAGGGAGTGTGCGAGGAGGGTGTGATTGTGCGAGGGGGCGAGGGACGGGGTGAGGGAGTGTGCGAGAGGGCGCGGGAGTGTGCGAGGGGGCGAGCGTGGGGGTGAGGGAGTGTGCGAGGGGGCGAGGAAGAAGGTGAGGGAGTGTGCGAGAGGACGCAGGAGTGTGCGAGTGGGTGCAAGCCGCTGCGAGTCCAGGTGTGCAGGTGACAGCAGGCTCTGCCGATCGGAATGTTCCAGAAGCTGTAGGATTGATTTCCCTGGTAAACAGCAGCTATTGACGGCCTCTCCCGGTCGCCCGCGGCTGCCGACCGGACAATCCCAGGCTTCGGATTCCGGGCACTCTCACAGGATTCCCGGTCACATCAGCCCTGAGCTCGCAAACACACCCCAGCCAGCACCACGCTCGCCCCCCCCACCCCGTCAACCCCGCCCCCCCCGTCGACCCCCGCCCCGCAACCCGTCGACCCCGCCGCCCCGCAACCCGTCGACCCCGCCGCCCGCAACCCGTCGACCCCGCGCCCCCAACCCGTCGACCCCCCCCCCAACCCGTCGACCCGCCCCAACCCGTCGACCCCGCCGCCCCGCAACCCGTCGACCCCGCAACCCGTCGACCCCGCGCCCCGCCCCCAACCCGTCGACCCCGCGCCCCCCAACCCGTCACCCCGCCGCCCCGCAACCCGTCGACCCCGCCCGCCTCGCCCCCCCCCAACCCGTCGACCCCGCTGCCCCCAACCCGTCGACCCCGCCCCCCCAACCCGTCGACCCCGCCACCCCCCAACCCGTCGACCCCGCTGCCCCCCAACCCGTCGACCCCGCCGCCCCCCAACCCGTCGACCTCACTTGCCCTCACGTCAACCCTGCTCTGCCATCCGGCCTCGCCTTTCCCAGGGTCAGTCTCTGTGTAACGGGAGGGAGAGAGGGAGGGATAATAATAACAACAACACTTGCATTTGATATGGCGCCTTATCCCGTCGTTGAGCCGACTCAAAGCGCTTCACAGAATAAACTGTAAAGTGGAGTGACTGTGTATTTTGTGGGTGGTTGAGTGACTGATCGAGGGAGGGAGGGAGGGAGGGAGAGAGCAATGGGGTGATGACGCTGGTGAGTGAGTGAGTGAATGAGTGAGTAAGGAAATGAGTGAGTTGATCACGCGGGATAAACTCTGTGACGCCGGTGGTGGGGTGTCGCGTTGCCTGATTGTATAAACTTACCGGTGTCACCTTTATACCCCAACCAGAGGGGAGGAGGGAGACAGCCGCCACCAACAACACACAGGGTAGCGTCCCAGAGCCCTTGAGGAGAGGAGAGAGAGACCACCAGAGGGCAGAGACCGGCAGAGCAGCTTGATGTCTGCTGGCTAGTGTCCGTGCCCTCCTCATGTTGTCCTCACTGGAGGCCCAGGCGCTGGACACGATGCAGGAATGTGCGGAGGCTGACGGAGCGGGCGAGCTGGCTCAGGGGGTGGCTGCGGTCCAGGTGACAGAGGGACGAGGCTGCGGGGAGGCGGGGGGCGAAGAGGCGCAGACGAACGGGCTGGGCAGGCCCGGGCCCCCCAAGCGAGCGCTGTCCCGGCCCGGCTCTCCAGCAGGAAGCTGTCCCTCCAGGAACGTTCGTCCGGAAACTCGCTGTCCGGCCCCGGGGAACTGCCGGGATTCGCTCCCTACTCCACCGGCCCCCCACCTGCTCGCTCCGGCAGGCGGCCCACCATAGAGTCCAACCAGATCAGCGTAACCAACAGCCAGGTGAGCCCAGACCCACAACAACAACAAGATTACGTTTGTATAGTCCCGCCTCAAGACCATGCCATCGGCCACTCCCCTTCCCCACCCTCCCTTCTCCCCCCCCCCCCGACCCCAGCTCAGGTCCGAAATGCTGTACACACAACAACAACAACTCGCATTTATATAGAGCCCTTCACCTGGGGTAGTGTCCCCCGGCCCCAAACCCAACCCCCAGCCCAACCCTAACCTAATCCCTCACTGTGCCTGGTGCCTCACTCAGTAACCACACAAGAAATACACACGCCAACAACACACCACATGGTTTGCATAAGGCGCATAATGCACGTGTGTTTCGAACACGGCAGTTGGCACGTAACATGTAAGGTTTACACATTTTTGCACGTGGCACGCAGTATGCACGTGTTTACACACGGTTTGCACTCAAGACATGACACGCGTCCGCAAACCCGATTTGCACGTGTGCTCCCCCAGCCCTGCGCTGGAACGCGCTGCACGTTGCCTGGTTCCAGACTGTGCACAGACTGAAATGTTGGACTTTTCTCTTTTGCTCTCTCTCTCTCTCTCTCTCAGGATTCAGTTCAGCTCAATCAGTACAAGCTGAAGACTGAGATTGGCAAGGTAAGATCTCATCTCTAATGATAATAATAATTAATATCCTGGCATTTGATAAGGCGTCTTTCACGCTGGATGGACGCCTCAGCGCACGTGGCAAGATTCAGCGTGAGGTGTGGTGACTGTGCTCTGCTGCCCCTATGTCCGCAGGGCTCGTACGGAGTGGTGAAACTCGCCTACAACGAGAACGACGACACGTATTATGTGAGTACATTTCCCTCGTTTCACTTCCTGTCTGTCTTGGGGATGTGAGCAGCACCGCGGGACATCTCTTAACGTCCACCTGAACAGGGCACAGACGGGGAGTGAGGTTCAGCGTCTCGTTTGAAGGTCGGCGGCTCCAGCAATGCGCGGATGTGTGTGCGTGTATATGTGTTTGTTTGCGTGCGTGTGCACATAAACACACACACATTGTCGGAGGCACACTTGTGTCTGTCTGTCTGTCGTACAGACAGACATTGATATTTTGGATTGGAAACAAACTGGAGGTGGGTAGGTTTGGCCGGGCGGGTTAGCAGGTCCAAGTATATACCAGAATCTTCCGTTCCTTCCCCAGGCCATGAAAGTGCTGTCCAAGAAGAAGATCCTCAAACAGTACGGCTTCCCACGTGAGTGACTGTGGGACTGGGGGGGGTTGGTGGTGGGGTGGGGGGGAGAGAGCTCTGTGACACCATTCCCCAAACTCCAAATCACAATCCAGGGAAAGCTGGGGAATGTTAATAATAATCCTTATAATAATCCTAGCATTAGATACAGCACCTTATCATGTCTTTGAGACGCCACAAAGCGCTTCACAGGATATACTGTAAAGTGAATTGACTGTATATTTCGTGGGCGAAACACGGCAGCCAATTGCACACAACAGCGTCCTACAAACAGTCGTGGATTTAAGGAATTATTATCCCCGAAAAAGCAATCCGACAATTGGCAACCGGGTCCCTACTTACTGATTGGTAAACTGAGGCGTGTGAAAGAAGGAAACTTGCCCAAGGAATCGAACCCGGGTCCTCTCGCTTGCAAGGCGAGTGCTCTAACCGCTGAGGAACTAATCCGTTCTCTCCATTCCCTCTCGCAGGCCGGCCCCCTCCCCGAGGGCCGAAGGCTGCCAGTGAGGAGCAGCAGAAGCCTCCCAGCCCCCTGGAGCGTGTGTACCAGGAGATCGCCATCCTGAAGAAACTCGACCATCCCAACATTGTCAAACTGGTGGAGGTGAGAGAGGCTTCCTTCCCGCACATTCCCAGCCATTCCTATACATCCCTACACGTTCCCACCTCACTCTCTAGCTCTCACGCATTCTCTCTCTCTTTCTGCCGACCACTCTGTTCTTCCACAATCTCCTCTCAGCTCCACCTTCACGGTTCTGCGATTGGATAGTTACACTCTTACCTTTCCCCTTATCCCCAAGGGCTTCCCCTCCAGCCCTCGCACCATCACAAGCGGCGTTCCTCGGTCCTGGTCCTCTCCTCTTTATTTACATGCTCCCGCTTGGTGGTCGGGCCTTCAGCCTCTCTGCCCCCACCCTCTGGCCACTCTGCCTCGCCCCCTCTCTTGCCTCCTTCAAGGCCCGTCTCAAGACCTTCCTCTTATACCACACTTTACTCATCCTCCTACCCCTTCCCTCCCCTCCACCCCTCTTGACATTAACACCCAGTACAAACCCTCCACTTTTCAACACCTTGGGATGTCCTCCTGATGTGAAAGGCGCTGTGTAAATGCAATTTGCATAGTCAACTGATTGTTTGTCAGCTTTCCCAACTCCTCCCTCCACAGGCTGCAGATCATCCAGAACTCTGCAGTCCGTGTCCTCTCCTGCACCGGGCCCCGTGGCCCTAACACCCCCATCCTCGCACGACTCTACCGGCTTCCCATTCCCCAGAGGATACAGTTCAGGATCCTGGTCCTCACCTTCAAAGCCCTTCATGGTCTTGCTCTCCCCTACCTCTGCGACCTCCTAAACCCCTACCATCCTGCTTGCTCCCTCTGCTCAGTGGGCTCTGGTCTGCTTCATGTCCCCCGCCTCGCTCACCCCACTATTGGCGGGCGGACCTTCCGCCACTCTGCCCTAACCCTCTGGAACTCCATTCCGCAATCCGTCCGCCTCGCTCCCTCCCTTGCTACCTTCAAGACCCACCTCAAGACCCTCCTCTTCAACTGTGCTTTCGATCTCCCTGCTTCGCCCCCCCCTCCCGCTCTCCACCCTCCCCGACCCCGACACCCAGCTCGGGTCCGTAACTCTGTCTGACCAGTGCCTTAGGACGTGCTCCCTAAGTGAAAGGCGCTATACAAATGTAATGTTGTTGTTATCTCATTCTCTCTCTCTATCTCTCGCACATTCACAGTCTCTTAATTCTCTCTCACTTTCATTTGCTCTCTCTTGCTCGTTCTGTCTCTCACCCTCTCTCATTCACTGTCTCTCACTCTCTCTCGCTCTCTCTCTCACACACACACACACACACTCTCTCCTGTTCATGTTTCCCTCTGAGACACTACTCTGTGTGGAGGGCGCTATATAAGTGCAAGTTGTTGTTGTTTCCCCTCAGGTTCTGGATGACTCTTCAGAAGACAACCTTCACCTGGGTGAGTGATTGGCCGGCGATCAGGGCACTCGGGGGTTGGGGGGCTGCGGAGGGGCGCAAGTGTCAGGAGGGAATTTGGCGAATTGTGAACCGCAGTCTGAGTTGAGGAGCCGTTTCCTGAAAGTTTCCTGTAAAAGCTGCAGAAACTGAACTTCAAAGCTTAGGTTAAAAAAACCCTGAGCCTGATGTGTGGAATGCGTCTCAGGAATGTTCCACACACTGATTACAGCAAATTGTGTAAATGTTTGAAAGGTTATCAGACAGGAACTGGAGACAGAACAATGTAAACTGTGTGTGTGTGTGTGTGTGTGTATGGGGGGGGGAGGTGTCAGTGTGTGTGGGTGTGTGTATGAGAGGCGTGTCTGTATGTGTGTGTCTGTGTGTGTATATGTACGGGGGGGGTGGTGTATGTGGGGAGGGGGGGTGTCTGTGCGTGTGTATGGGGGTGTCTGTGTGTGCATGGGTGGGGTCAGTGTGGATGGGGGTGGGGGGTGCTGCTGAACAGAGAGCCATAGGCCATGGCTCAATGGGCTGAATGGCCTCCTCAGTGACAGGTGTCCGGTCGCTGCTGATGTTTGTACGTGAGTTAGGAACACCGGGAATGCTGTGAGTGTCCCAGAGGAACCCAAGCCCTGGAGCCTCCACAAATGAGTGCCTCTGGGACCACAGCCAGACACGTGGTGTCAGCACCTGGGGTTCTCCTGGTCCAGCAGACACTACCACACCTGGTGCTGGGGATAGACTCAAAACAAGGCTGTCAGACATACAGATCTTCACAAGCATCTGACCCTGATCAGAACTGATCACAGGAGGAGCTCTCAAACCCAGTTTATTAAATCTCTTCATCCCATTTCCACATCTTATCTCCGTATCTCTGGCTTCCCAAATATCCATCTAACTCCCCTTTAAACATCCTGATCTCCCCCGGACATTATAGTAATAATCCTTGCATTTGATGTAGCGCCTTATCACGTAAAGTATAAAGTGAATTGACTTTATATTTTGTGGGCAAAACGTAGCAGCCAATTGTGCACAGCAGTGTCCCACAAACAGCCGTGGATTGAGTGAGCAAATTATTATTTTATTTTTGAAAGTCATCCGCCAATCGCCTAACAACTGGGTTCCTACTTATTGCTGGTAAACAGAGGCGTGTGTTTTGCCCTGTCCGGAAATTAAACCCAGTTCTTCTCGCTTGCGAGACGAGTGGGCTGACCACCACACTACAGGACCTCATACTGGGTGGACAATGGGAAAAGAGGAGTGAAACCTTCAGAGAAAGTGACAACAGAAGAAATGGGTGCATTGCTAATACCAATACCATATCACATTCATACTGATGTGAAGGAATCTTCATTATAATTAACATTAAGTGTGAGATTCCCGCGGAGGGGCTGACAATCTGGCTAACTCTCTGTTCCTGTTTCTTTCTTTCTCAACACGTTCTCCAGTGTTTGAACTCATGAGCAAAGGGTAAGTGCTGAGTAATCCCAGCCGTTAATATGTCTAGTTTATAATATTAATATATAATAATATGCTAATTGACAACGGGCAAGGGGGTGGTGTAGAGTGGGAGACTGGCTGCTGGGGGGTGGGAGGGGCTGTGTGGAGTGTGGCGGGGGCACGGGGCAGTAGCCGCTGACGGGCTCTCTGGTTACAGGCCGGTGATGGAGGTGCCCACAGACTCCCCCTTCACAGAGGAGCAGGCTCGCAGACACTTCAGGGACATTGTGATGGGCATTGAATACTGTGAGTCCAGCCTCGGCTTCTCAGCACTGCCCGGGGGGGGGGGGCTGATCTCCGCAGGGTTGGTTGGGAGTTTGGGTTAACGTTGGGTCACGTTTGGATTAACGTCTCTTCGTTGTCGTCATCGTTGTTGTTGTTGTTAGTGCATTACCAGAAGATCATCCATCGCGACATCAAACCGTCCAACCTGCTCCTGGGCGACGATGGGAGGATTAAAATCGCGGACTTCGGGGTCAGTAACCAGTTTGAGGGGAACGACGCTATGCTGTCCAGCACGGCCGGGACCCCCGCCTTCATGGCCCCCGAGACCCTCTCCGAGACCAAGAAGATATTTCACGGAAAGGCAAGACTCTCGCTGTCCGTCCACTGCAACAGAAGGTCCAAGTGGCCTCGATAAAGGTCTTCCCAACAGTGGAGGCTTCCGGAGGCCGGGAAGAATAATAATCCATATATTTCATATAGCGCCTTATCACATCTTCTAGATGATCAAAGCGCTTTGCAGAATATACTGTAACATGACTGTGAAGTTTGTGGACGAAACGCTGTAGCCAATTGCACACAGCAGCGTCCCACAAACAGTCATGGATTGAGTGACCAAATTTGTCTTTGAAAGATTGTGACCCCAGAAAGCAATCCACTAATCGACTAACAGTCAACTACTGTCAGATAAACAAAGCCGTGTGGCGTGAGGAAACCTGCCTATGGTTTTGCCCCGCCTCGGAATCAAACCCAGGTCCTCTCGCTTGTGAGGCGAGTGCTCCAACCGCTACGCTATGGGGTTAGAGTAGAGAGCTCCAGTGGGGGAGCGAGCACCAGCGTAGACACGGTGGGGAGAGAGAGAGAGAGAGAGAGAGCAGGGAATGGGATTAGAATAGAGGGCTCCAGTGGAGGCGTTGGGCTGTGTTGACTGATGTCGGTGTGTGCGTGAGCTGGGCACACACACACCTGTTAGCTAACGGGAGTGTGGGCTTGTGTTTCAGGCTCTGGATACACCTGCCTATCCCAAGGCTGAGAAACAAGCAGCCTGTGGAAGGCTGCCCAGAAGTTGTCCATATCTTTCTCCTCATCAGATATTTTCCACGAGCCAACAGCCTGCGAAGGGCGGGGGCAGAGATAGATATATCTCTGTGACAAGGGGTTGGAGTTAGAAACACATAAAAGAAAAATATATCTTTGGAACAGTTGGGAGTTGTGTAGAGGGTCTGCGCACTTCCCAGTGGAATCGATATGGATTCTATTGTATCTATGTATATTACGGGGGTGAGGGAATTTACCTTCGGTAAGAAAGGGACCGTTGAAAGTGAAAGAGGAGGAGTAGGGGGTAATATGTTTTCGGTTCTGTCTGCTGGGCCGAGAAGTAGTAACAGTAGTAGTGGGTCAGGTTAGACTGTACAAGTGAGGTCCTGGGCTAAGAGCTGATTGTTTCTGTTGGGTTTCCAGGAGCCACTCTCTGTGATTCTGTGTGACAGTCCTGTGATCTCTCCAGTGTATGTCAAGGTGTGATCCCAGGTCTACTGTTTAGTCTGGAGTTCAAAACAGTGCCTGGATATGTGTTATCGTCAGTACTAAGCGCTCCAGGGTACTGTGAGGATCAGCTATATCTAAAGGACGATTCCAGAGGCTGAACTCCGTACTGGTTCCGGGAAAAAGACAGTTTTGGGATTTCTGTCTTCCAAAGTTTTGTGCTACAGAATCAGTTGTCCCGGAGGGTTTTCCAGGAGCTGATTTCTGTTGTGTATTTTGCGGTGCGTTGTTGGTCTGGAGGTACTGAGCAACCCCTGTGCGCGTGCTGTGCGGAAAATGTTTTGCCCAAATAGATGTGTTGTATTGTTATCATGTTATATGGAGTACAATTTGATTGCAGATTGCTAAACCTTATGTTTCATCTTATGCAATAAAGTCTCTACTCTTACCACCACCTGACGAATTATTAACAACGCCTGGAATGCTCGCCTGTTTACAACAACAAACATTTGAATAGTTTTGTGTCGGGAGGACGTCCCAAGGCGATACATTAGGAGCTGCCCAAGTCCGAAAGGCAGAGCAGAAGAGAGCGATGAGGCTGATGCCTGGTATTTAGAGGAATGTGTGATTAGCAATGATTAGACAAGTATCTGCTCTTCAGTCTCAGGAGTGGTCTTGTTTTCGCCCACAAAATACAGTCACTCCACTTTACACTATATCCTGTGAAACGATATGAGATGTCTCGAAACGTGATAAGGCGCTGTATCAGTTGCAAGGATTATTATTATTACAGACATCAGGAAGTATTGCTTTACGCAGTGGGCAATTACTGACTGGCAAAATCCTGTGGGATTGTCGGTCTGTGTGCGGCTTTGCCGTGTGGGAATATGGGAATTATGAGATCACCGCACAACTTTCCTCCCTCCTTCCGTGACCAGCGCGCGGCGGTGCCTGACCTGCGAGGGGAAGGTGTAGTCAGCCACGTCCCACACCCGCTGCCCCAATCCAGACACGTTACCGGTGGCCACCCCCTTCATCTTCACCGACACCGAACTGATGATGGAATCCGTGGATTGGTAACCTTTCTCGTGGAGGAACACCCACCTGGAGCGGGGAGGGAGAGATACAACAACAACAACAACAAGAATCCATTTATAGAGCGCCTTTCACGTCGGGAGGACGTCCCAAAGCGCTGAACAATTGGGTCAGGACCCGAGCATTGGGGGGAAATGGTCAGGGTGAGGGGAGGGAAGGGAGGGGGTGAGGAGGGGGGAAATGGTCAGGGTGAGTGGAGGGAAGGGAGGGGGTGACTGGCCTGGGACTGGCCAATCAGGATAAAATATTGCTTATACGGCCCGCGGACATTTCTCA